CTTTCCATATAGTTCCATCACAGAGGTAAACGTCACATAAGCCCATAGCTTGGAGTTGAAATAAGGTTTAAATTATGCGCAGGGGACTTTGTGAGAGCTCTCCACAGTGGAGTGAATTACACCCTCCCTAAACAAATACAATGGGGGGAAAAGGGGAACAATCATCTACTTAAGGATTTCTGGTTTGGATTTTGGATGATAAAATTAAATTATAGCTTGCTTGCTTTCTGTCTCTCTCTTTTTCTCTCCCTTTCTTTCGTAGAATCAGTTTTGGGTTGTGTTGAATTCTGTATTTATTTGTAGCATTATGTTATGTATCTAAATAGATATTGCTGAAAGGACCCAGCTATCAAGTTGTGTAAATAACTAATCCATGTAATAATGTTCTTATTACTGGTACCCCGGTCATCTCCCCATTTCTACCAGATTGTATTATTCCCAGTTGCATCTTATCTAAAATTATGTTATAGTATACTCCAAATTTGTGTGTGTGTGTGTGTGTGTGTGTGTGTGTGTGTGTGTGTCCCCATGGAACCCTATCCATACAGCATTAGTAACTCATTATCATGTTGGGTACAGTTACATTTTACTATTTTTAGTGATACTTCATTATATATTAAGAAATATATGGTGAATTATATTAAAGTAATAATTGGAGGCCAACTCATGTTCAGCTGTTAAAATTTGTTTGCAAGTGATGTGAAATCATTAGGGATTTTTTTCAGTCTTGCACATTAACATAAGATTTTGTGGAGTTGTAGAATAACTTTAGCTTTCTACAAGTACTTTGTATTGAAAAGACACAAGTTTGAATATTTATGTTTGACATTTCAGATCCAGAATGCTAATGATGTGCTAATAGCACCACTGGAGAAGTTTCGGAAAGAACAAATAGGTGCAGCAAAAGTAAGTTGCTTAGGAGCCAAGTCTTATTTAATGTTTGTTTGAAGTTCATGCTATATGTCATATGTTAGGTTAAGAGCATTGAATAAATAAGATATCTTTGTTCTCATTTAATTTTTACACTGTAGCAAATTAGACTCATTTCTTTTTTTCAGAGAAGGGGACCATTTACATGTGGCATAAGAGAACTGTATATAATGCATATGTTATGTCTTCAAGAAACTAACAGAATTCCTTGTTGTCTCCCAATTCCACAGTTGTCTTTGTTTTAGTGCTTAGGTTTTAATTTGATCCCAGAAAACAGAGTAGAGTTGCACCTTATAGACTAACCAAATCAGAGATGCGTACGCATTCATGAGCAAGAGCTCTCTTTGACAGATGCTGTCTCACAAAAACTTATGTATTTCTGATTTGGTTAGTCTGTAAGGTGTAATTCTAGCCTACTTCAGACTAAGAATACTAACTATCTCTCTTTGATCCTATAAAAAAGCACCAAAATGGAGGTGGAGCATAGCATCTCCTGAGATCCTGCCCCTTTCTGCATGATATCCCTCTGGCTTTCCAGAGGAGATTGAAGTGAAACTATAGATTTTATACAGCCCAATAATTTCCTTTAGATGGAAAACCCAAGTTGGTGAATGAAGTCAGTTATACACTCCCTTTGTGTTACAAAAATAGCACAAAGGTATTGGTGCCCAGTTTTCTGTTGCATGTATAAATGAAAGATGTTTCATAGGTATGAGCCCTCAATATGGAGGGCTGTATTGTAGCCCAGTTCAAAATTCTAAAGTTGGACAAGAGTCATTATCTTGGCGATACATTAAGGGTAAAACATTCAATGAAATGTATGATTCTGATAAAATCTACTGTTGATTAGTAGGTATTAAATAGTGAGCTGCATGTAGAAACACTGTTTATAGACCATCTAGAAAGTCTTTTAATTTTTAATGTTCATTTTTTTTAAAGTTCTGGTTCTGTTCTATAATATGGTATAACTAAAATTAATAGAATCTGTATTCTTTCTACATCTGACTAGTTTCACAGGTAAATGAATATAGTTTGGGGGAAAAAATGGAAAATACAAATGACAACAGTTGAACATTTTCTGTATTCCTTTGGATATATAACAAAGAAATGGAAGTGCTGCTACGCGGGGACGAAACATGTTTTAGAAAAAAATCCTGTTATTAACTTGTGGTCAAGTTTATGTGGGTAAAAGCCTTTTCTCTATTCTCATGTTTGATAAGTAGTTGTGTACAGCTGCAGGTTTTCCTCAGGACACCTACATGCTGCTGTACAGATATGGTGTGGGAGTTTGTTTTCATCTAAGCTGCATATTTAAGTGGAGTTTAACCCCAGCATAAGATGCTTTTTATTTTTCAGCAGTTTTTAGTTCTAGTTTTACTACAAATTGTTCTTTTGTCATTATTTACTTTTATAATTATTTAGTTTCTGGGAATGCTTCTGGAGAGAATCTTCTGAACCTGCATTTAGAGGCTTTCTACACTATGCTGTTGACTCTTTTTGGCTAGGGACAGACATTACACATAAACCAGTTTAAGTGATCAGAAACTGGTTTAAACTTGTAACAGAACAGACATTCAGTGCACATAAAACCGTTTCAAAATGGCCGAAACTGGTTTGGGATAACTCTGGTTGAATGTAATATCAGACTTAACTGATTTGGCTTGTCCCAGACCCCTTGCAGGTTTAAGTTAAACCAGACTCCCCCAGCATCACGGCATGCTCTCTGGGCTAGGCTATCTGCTCTAGCCCAGCTGGGCTGACCCAGCCCCTCTGCTCCTGAGCCCAAGCAGGGACAGGCAGGCGCTGGGGGGTGGCCAGGGATGGGGTTAATTCCCCCCTCTCTGGCCCGCTGGCAAGGATGCGAGTTAGGTCTGCCAGGTGCTCCCCCCTTGCTGCGGCAGCAGTGGGGCACCATGGCCCCTGAGGCAGAGAGGGACAAGGAAGGGGGTTAGATTCCCCTCTACCCCACTCACAGCCATGTCTGCCTGCTGTCACCACTGCGCTTGCTCCCTGAGAGGGAATAAGCCCCCTGCATTCCCCTCTGCCATAGGGAGGGAAAATAACCCCTGTCCCTGCCCCCTCCAAGGGGGCCTGGGGCCAGTATCTGATTGTGCCCCCACCCAGCTGCTGCAGTGGGAGGGGGCAGGGCCTTTGGTGAAGGCAGCAGCACTTGTCATAATGTCAGGGAGTGCGAGCCCTTTCCTGGCAAGCACCCCCCCCCTCCAAGATGCAGTGGGCTGCACACAGCAGTGCCAGGGGCCAGAGCCCCCCTCTCCCCACCCCCAGCACTACTACAATTGCTGCCACAACCCTTAGCAGCTCCCCTCACCGGGAAGAGGCTTACACTCAGGGAAACTCTCCCCCTCCGCTCCAACACCCAGGTGGGGGCATAGCCAGATGCCACTGGCTGGGTGGATCTGGCCCACAGAGGGGTTTTATATGCTGCGGGGCAGTTCCCTTGGTCCCACCTGGCCAAGGCGCCAGCCCCTAGGCATGCATCTGGGCTGGGGCTGCTTTGCTGCTGCCACTGAGCCCAGCCCCACAGTACAGGGAGGGACCAGCGCACACAGCCCTGACCCCATGCCGCCTCCAGACTCTCTTGTATGGGCTGAGCAGTGGGGGAGCAGGAGAGAAACTGCTGCTCAGCGTGAGGGGGAAAGTGCCCCTCCCCCTCCTGCTGCCAGCTCTTAAGGTACAGCTGCCCAGAGCCCACATGGGACTGCCCTGTGTCTCTGCCGCATCACCAATGCCCTGGGGGGCAGCCCTGAGGCAGGGGAGATGCAGGGCAGCCCCACACAGGCTCTGCCCAGCAACGGTGGGCAGACCCGGCTGCCAGTGGAGTAGAGGGGGGATTAACCCCCTCTGGCTCAGGGGCCACAGTGCCCCTCTGCTACTGCAGCAAGGGGGGAGCACCTGGCAGACCCGGCTCGAGTCCCTGTTGGCAGGACAGCAAGGGGGTAATTAAATCCCTCTCTGGCCAGTTCTCACCCCCGCCCCCCCCCGCACAGCTTCCCTGCCACTCTAGTGCCCCCAACCCCTGGCTTGAGCCACTGCAGACATATGCCTGCATATCTGTTCCATTACAAACCGGTTCCACTGAGGCAGGTTAGACTAACCTGCAAAGGCTGAATCAGTTCAGGCTCTGGCTTTTTGAATGCCTGTCCTTAGCCATTCTGTCTGAAAGAAGCGAAGCAAAATTGGAAGAGTCTGTGCAGAGTAATATCAGGCACTGCCTGGCTCTTTTGGATACGTGCACTGAGTTCCAAGACTGTTCATTCATCTGGTTGTGAATTATGATTGCATTTTGAATCGGAAGAAGTGCTATTCCTATTAACAGTAGTAAGACTCAACATTTTCTGCAGTGCTCTACTTGTTCAATATACTTTAAAAACATTAATTAATCTTTTCAGTGTCCTTGCTAAATAGGAATGTAGGTAGTGATCCATGTTTTAAATTGGAAAAAAAAACCCAACTATGGCAAGGTCAAGTGAATGGCCTGAGGTCACACAAAAGCTGAATTCATGACCTGGGACTTCCAACTCTTAGTTCTGTGTGTCATTAGCCCTTGTTACTTCTCTTTTGGACAGTTAGGGCTTGCTGTCAAAGGACAGTGCTGAGGAGCACTACAGTGAAACAGATAGCATGCCTGCTCTTTCCATGCTGTACCCCACCATCGAATTAATGCCGTAGAACAACTCCAGGCACGCTGGCCAGTAAGTGCAGCAAGACAGTGAGTTTATCCATTTGTGCCAGCAATACCTATGGCAGGGGTGCGTAATCTGTGGCACGCATGTCACAAGTGGCATGGGCAGCCTGTGTGGCACATGGAAGATCAGGGTGGAGACGTATCGCAGCAGCAGATAGGCAGAAAGCAAAGAATCAGATTGGGCAGGGGAAGGGGATTAATGTGGCACTCAGGATAGTGCTGAAAAGGCTCTCAACTGTTGCTTGAAAGTGGCTACATTATGTTTGTTTTGATGGACAGCATGCACAAAGCGAGTGGGGTGTGCTTACCACAGAACTCCTTGGCATGGTTTAGAGGCAGTATAACATTCCCTTATGGCAGTAGTTCTCAACCTTTTTGGACTTGAAGCACCCCTCCATAATTTTTTTGAGTTCCGTGGCATCAGTGCCAAAAACTAATTTAAATATTACAGTGCTTACCTCCTTGCAGAGTGTCCCAGTAGTAGGGGTAGGAGATTGGGCAGGGAGGAGACTGAGCCTGTGCTGATCTGCTTAGCTTTTCAGATTATCTCCTCACACCTCACTTATCTCCCTATGTCTCAGGGCACCCTTCAAAGGATCTGGGAACACCCTGAGGTACCCCAGCATCCTGGTTGAGAATCACTGCATTAAGGTCCTGGGTTGATGTACATTTACACCCTGCCCCTGTAAAGGGAGCTGTACTTGTTAGAATACATGAAATAAACTCGTCTTCTCCTGCTCTGCTTCCTGAGTTCAACTTTCAGCTACAGAACCAAGAGGTTCAGACCACCCACATAATCAAGGGTGTGATGAAATCTGTTCAGAGGTGAATCTCTCAGCTCATAGTTACAGGGAGCACGTGGTTAGATGAGAGCAGCACAGGGGTGAAATTAGTTATATTTAATTCTCTTCTAGAAAAGGCTCAAGGAAAGGGATCAAGGATGGTAGCTATATGAAATAATTAGCTATGAACCAGAGCTTTGTGTTAGAAAATAGGAGATCATATGTAAGTTTACTTCAGTCTTTGGCTTAGATTTAAGTATTGAGCTTTTGGATTCTGTTTTATGACTTCTTCCCCACATATACACACTCTCTCAAATGTTTAGTGTAGGGTAATAAGTTTAAGCTGAGTTTGTTTCACAGCAAAATATTTGCTGGATTCAGGTGTGCACAGTAGGTTTGCAACCTCTTGGAGCAATATCTAACAGAATGGGAGAGACAGCAGCTTCTTGTCTTTTGGTTTTTTGCAGTAAAAGGTTTCACAGCTCTCT